AGAGAAGTCACTCCAAGCACTAACATGATTTGTGAAGTCTCCCTGCCAATAGGAAAAGTAGGGATGTGCACCCAGGCCTGACGCAACTAACTTTGCTCCTGGAACAATTCTTTGAAGTAACAATGAGCACTTCGGCTGCTGCCCAGCCTAGCCCGGCCGGGCCCTCCACCCCTTCCCATTTCACCCAAACACCAAACTTCCCAAGATGGCACTAAAGTGGGCAGGAAGCCTAAATTAGCCAAAAGTGGGCAGGAAGAAGAGGCAGGGAGACACATCTGCACGTACACGTGCATACGTTTACACGCCGTCTCTCCTTTCTCTTCTCGTCCACTGCTCCAATTTCATTCTCCATGGAAAGGCAGCAACGCACCCTGGCTAGAGGTGGGACTTCCACGGGGGCCGCGCCGTTTCGACAAAGTCCACCATCGTAACGGATGTGGAGGGCCCCGCGGAGGACGAAACGGCCTCTCCACTGCCAGTTTCTGTAAGACCCCGATAGCTGAGGAGGAGACAGGACCCCACCACCGGCGCCAGCTCTGCGGGGCCAAAGCCCTGCTCCGCTGGAAGCCCCGCAAGTCAAAGGCAGCAGAAGCATCAGCTCCCCGCCTCCTCGGGATGGTAGAAAATCACCAACTTTGTCGCTGAGTTAGCAGCGCTCTCCTGGGGTTTCCTGAGGGAGCAAACCCAGCCTCTACGTCACCACACAGGCGCCTACCCCATTCCAAGATGGAGGGAAGACGCCAAAGGAGACTTGGCGGGGAGCCTCAGAGCCACAAAGAGGCCAAGACTGAGCTTGGGCAGGGAGAGGAGAGGAGCCAGCTCTGAACATGCACCCTGGGCCCACAAAGAGCCAACTAGCAAGAAAGCCCCAGCAACACTTGTCCTACGCTAGGGCCTTCCTACAACTACAATGAAAGGTGTTTGAGCTTTTTCATGAGAGAATAAGGCAGACTGGCTCTGCGAGAAAGCGAGAGCTAGAAAAGCTCGCCATCGTCCTAATTCTGAGGGCTGGTCAGCCACCCGGACCTGTGCGATTTCACATGCGAGAAGCCCACTCACCGCATGGTCATCTCTCCCTGAGAGGAGGGGCCGTCAGGTCTCATGGAAGACAAAAAAGGTCCTGACTCCCCCACAGGACCGGCGGGTCACAGCGAGCTCTGAAAGAGGCTGCCTCCACCCCGGGAGGTTACAGGGTTGGTCCTGTTTCCTCGGCTTTCCCCCATCTAACTCCAAAGCCCGTGGCACGGCTCCCAGCAATGGGGCTACACCCTCCTATGGGGCTGTAATAAATGGCCATTCTCTGGCCAAACTGATACTAACTTTTCTTTTCTACTTTTGATGTTACACACAACCCTGTCCTCGCTGTACCAGGAAGCCATTTCACCCATCTGTCTGGGAAGATGATCCAATTTTGGTCCTTTTATCATCAATGCTTTCAGTAACTTTGTTCTATTTCCCTTACTGTAATTACTTTTGAATCATCAACACACCCAGCCAGCCTTAAAGCTCCAAGAACTGAATGCTAAAAAGAAAAAACAAAAACAAAAGCAAAAACAAAACCCCAAGAGCCCTGCAATGGCAAACGACTTCACCAAAAAGCCATCCAAGCTGGGAGCAGCAATTTGTTTGTTTGTTTTCTAGAAATTGACCTGTTAATAAACTGCAGCACACCCCTTCCCCTTTTTCCAAAGGGAGGCAGGCAGGGTAGAGAGATAGGATGCTGGGGAGGTGGGGGGGGCGGCAGCAAGGAACTCCTAAAGGAGATCATTAAAACATCTACTCCCCACCCCCGCTTAAAAGAAAAAAAAAAAAAAAGGTTGCAGGATTTGTAAATAATGAGAGACTCAGAAAGTTGGCTTGCTGGTTGCCCAAGCAGCCCAGGAAAATAGTTATGTCTTCTCCAGAATGCAGTCAAATTACATGGTGAGAGAGAGACCCATGGCTGCTGGCTTGAGAATTCAGATTCCTCCAGGGAGAAGTCTGAAGGACAAACCACACACAAAAAAGAAAACAAAAAACGTAACTCCAAGAAAATCCAACCAACATCAGCAACAGAACACTGTCAAGAAGTCAGCTGCTCTGCTTCCTGCTGTCATCTCTTCTGTTCCCCGCCACTGGCCCTGGTGGCTGAAACTTCCAGCTCCGATATGTAAGCTGCCCCTTCAGCAGTCCTGCTCTCTCTCACTCCTGGTGTGATCTCACTAGGAAGGCACCCTCCAGAGCCTCTGCAAGAGGAGGACCAGAGCAGGGAAGCACAGGATGGTTCTTCCCATTTGTCATTACAGGGAGCCCTCTGGAATCCTTCCACACCCAAATCTCTTCACTTCTGGCTCCCTCCTGGAGTCCTTTCCTGGGATGAGATTGGGAATAGGCAGGAGTGAAGTTCTCAACACAGAAAGCCTCCCCTCTTCAGGCCTCAGCAGAGCTGGGCGGCCAGCAGAGATAAAATTGCCCGGGGGGGGGGGGGGGAGTCACACAGCCTTGTTAGTGATGCAGCCAGGAGCGCGGGCACAGGGAGCAGGGGCTTTCTGGGGGCTGGGATCCAATCAGGCAAAGCTCTCCCCCTCCTCAGGGCAAGCTCATTTAAGGAAGGACCAACAATGCAGGAAGCATACAGTGCTCCTCCACCCCATTCCACTCCAGCAATTAGGGAAAGGCTGACACCAGCAGCTCAGCTTGCACCTAGGCAAGTTGAGGGAGCTACTTGGGACTGTGAACCCCAGGAATAAGTGACCTGCTGCCTACTGTTTCCAAACAGGGGGATGTGGGTGACCCCGAGGACCCGCAGCTGGCCTAGGTCTAGGCCTCAATACGTTCAACTGCAGTACTTGGCCCTGGGTGGTCGAGGGAAGGGCAGGAACGCTCCGGATTTGGTATGATGAGCGTGCGCTCCCCAGTCGCAGGGCCAAGTGGCCCCAGTCCGGGGAAGTTCTCCAGAAAAAAACCCCCAAAACAAAAACAAAAACCAACAGACAGACAAAAACACAACAAAAAAACGACGCTAGTCCTTACTCCCCGAGGAAAATTCTGTCCGCTATTTTAGACACATTCCTCAAGGCTCGAGGAGGAACGTGGGGGAGGGGAAAAAAAGAGTTTCGGGGCTTCGAGTGACCGAACTAAGAGAGACTGCACCCTCGGGCAGCGACCTTTCCCCGCCGTCCGGAGAGGCCTCGGCCTCACCCTGCTCCTGTCCCCAAGACCACCCCAGAGAGGGCCCGCGACCCCCTAGCGTCTCCACCTGACCCTCAGGAAGGCGGGGGCCGCGAGCTGCTGCCCACGGAGAACTCGCACTTTTTCGCTGCGCGATTCAGAAACACGCCGGGTCTGATGCCATCCGGCGAATTATGTAACCAGGGACACCGCTCCCGGGCTAAACAAACGCGGCTCTGTGTCTGCAGCCGCTGCCCCGGGGAAGCGCACCGGGGCAGGGAGGGGCTCCGGCCAGGCCTCGGGGTCGGGCTCGTAGGCTCAGCGAACGCGGCAGCAGGGCCGGAGCGCCGAGCCGCCGAGGTCCCGGGCCCAGCGCAGGGCCGCGGGCGGGCCAGTTGGGTCCCGCAGGCTCGGCCCCTCCCCCACCGCGGCCGCCCCCGCCTCCGGGCGGTGAACTTGGTCCCAAGTCCCGCAGGACGCCGTCACCGCCCGCGGCCAGAGCGACCTCGGGCTTGGGGGGGGGGGCACTGAGAAGTGCTGGACTCTCCAGTTCCCGCTCCATTCCAGCTCGGGACCCTTCCGTCCTCCTCCCCACCCCTCTCCCCCACGGCCCTGGGGCGGCTGCGCGCCGTCGTGTGGGAAAGGGACGACCCCACCTCCCAACTCGGGAGGGGGACGGACGCGGGTGACTCGCGCTTCCAGCGCTACTCCTGTCTCTGCGTACGGGGGGAGGGGTGCAGGACGGGGTGACAGCTGCGCGATGACGCCCCTCCCCCTCGGGCGCCAGGAGCCCGGGCCCCGCGCAGCCCCATCAGGGGTCTGAGTGCGGACAGAGACGCGGGGGCGGATGGACTAGGGAGTCGAGTCGGAATCGCCGGCTCTGATCCCCAGGAGGTCAGGGACCCGGACTCGGGTTGCGGGCTGTGCTGGCCCCCCACCCAGCCGGGGGCGACTTAAAGTTTTGGGAAGTTGCTGCCCCTACCTTGCTTGGTGAGCACCAGGGCGTCTTCCCTCCGCGCCTGGGTGATGATGGAGCCGTGTTCCATCTAACAATCCCGCGGGCCCGGGCTGGCTGGGCGGGAGGACCGGCGGGCGCGCAGGCTGGGCTGGGCTGGGGGGCCTGGGCGGGGGCCCGCTCCGGCTCCGGCTCCCGAGACTCGGACTCCCACAGCTGCTCACATCCCTGCTCTCGTTTCCTCCCTGGGCCGGGAAGGGAGGCGGCCTGTACGGAGGGCAGGCGGCCCGGGCAGCGGCTCCCCCGGGTGCCCCCGGCCCCGATCCCCCGGCAGCAGCTCCGGGCTCCTCAGTTTGGGTCCAACATGGAGAATCCGGAGCGAAAACAAGAGGAGGAAATGGGACACGGGGCGGTTTCCAGGCTCCCCCCTCCCCTCCGTACTCCGGATAAACAACCCGCGGCTGCAGCGCCCACCCCCGCGCGCCTCCCGGCCCCCGACCCGGCCTTTCCACGGCCCGCCAGCACCTCCCTCTCCAGAGCACGGTCCTAGGCCCCAGGACCCTCCACCCGTGAGCTGCCGGGGCTGCGGAACATCCGGAGCTTTGCTATTTTGTTACGGAAAAAGCGAATCCCCGAGGGGGGTGGGGTGGCGGGCGGGCAGGCTGGCGGGGGAGACTTGAAACCGCTCCTGCGCTCCGATTGGCCCTCTCGGAGAAAAGAGGCGTGGTCCCTCCTTACTATGCGGTGCGAGGACCCAACAACATTCCAGTCGCTACGGCCACGCCCCCGGGCCCCTCCCCCCTAGCCGGGCTGAGGCCTCCCAGTCTCCTCGGCCACACCCCCTTCCCAACTACTTAAAAGGACACTCCAAAGCTCACGTTTCCCTACTCGGGCTGGTGTGTTCACGTCTGTGCGTCGCTTCTCGGGTAAGGTGGAATGGTTCCGCCCTTCGGGTAACCAGGGCAAGCCGCGAATCCTAACCCAGGTCCGGCCAGGATGGGAGGGTTCGGGGCAGTTTTCTTACTTCCTGCTTGGCCCTCGAATCGTGGACCCCCAGTTTCACATAAAAGTACAACCATTGAATCTCGAAAGGGATGTGGGTGGCAGGCGGACTTGGGACCCCAGAATATCAGAACTGGAACTGACCTCGGGACTGTCTGACCTATAGTTCAAATGAGACCTGAGTCGCAGGGCTTTGCTCAAAGCCACTCACTCATTCCCATTCAGGGCTTACCTCCTCCCCGCCCCCTTCCCCTATAGTCCCAGCTTCAGATTAGATGGATAGAGGTCTCTAAGGGAAGAGCTTTTGCTCGGCTGACTCAGTGCTGCCCTCCCTCTTTGCTCTTAGGCCTCAGGCACCCTCCCCTGGCTATGTATGGCTCCTGGACTTTTCAAGGCTTTAGGTGAGGGATATACACAAACACATTTGCTCCCAACAAGTGAGAGCTCCAGAAAGGCAAGTTTCAGCTCAATATCAGGCCCTTTCCAGTGAGCTACATCTGTCCACAGGTGACATGGGCTGTTCAAGGCTGGCAGGAGTGATGTAGGGTGACTGCACCAGGTGACTTCTGAGCTACTTCCAACCCTAATAGTCAATGATTTAATGGAACTCACCTACCAAGGAAGGGTCTTCCAGAGGGTCAGGACTGATCTGGTCCCCGGCAAGTGGGAGCAGCTGATGGCCTGCCCTCTGCAGTTTGCATTGCCCAACTTACACCAGGCCTCACTGGGGGGGGGGGTGTGTGTGTGTGTAGGACAAGTAGGTCACATCTTAAATTGCCAGGTACCATCAAATACCTGTCCCCCCACGGTCCCTCCTTCATGAGGACAGGTGAGGTTGTGATGTGTATCAGCCTGTGTGCCTTAATAGTGCTCATGCGTGCCTGGTTCTTCTGTTCCTACACACACATACACAAAACCTTTTTATATAACACCATATTAATGGAAATGCTGTTTTTCCAAAATGAAAGCTGTTACAGAAGATCTGAATGGTGCTTATGTAACTTTAAAAACTGAGTTTGGGTACATCTTAATTCATTAACGGAAGGGGAAAGGGAGGAGTTCTTTTTTCTTTTTTTTAAGATTATTTGAGATCGAGAGAGAAAGAGCACACGAGCAGGGTGAGGAGCAGAGGGAGAGGGACAAGCAGACTCTGTGCTGAGTTTGGAGCCTGACACGGGGGCTCTATCTCACGACCCTGAGATCATGACCTGAGCCAAGATCAAGAGTGGAACACTTAATGGGACACTTCACCAAGGGAGCCACCCAGGTGCCCCAGGGAGGCGTTCTTACATATTTATCTCCCCTCATTATTAAAAGATCACTAAACCAATAGGATTCTTAAAGGTAAATCTTCAGTAGTCAGGGTGTGGGGGGCCCTTTTTGGGCCCTGCCCCCTGCCCCTTTGCAAGGTAGTTGGGTTGGGATGGCAGGAGGAAGAGTGCAGGCAGGAGCTGAGAATTGAGGATTGAGAGACACCTGCTACCCCCAACTCTGTAGTGGTGGGCAGGACACTCCATCTCTCTAGGCTTCTGTTTCCTCATCCATGGAGACAGTCCCTCTCCCATTTATAGTTTACAAAATACTTTCACATACACTCTCTATCTCATTTAATCTCTCATCTCCTTGAGGCTGACAGAGCAATTTTATGCCCATTTTGTCAACGAGGAAACGGTCTGGAAAGGTTAACTGACTTACCTAAGGTCTCTCACAAGCTTATTAAGAGGAGGAAGCAGGACTAGAATTTGTCTTTAGACTTTCAAGACTAGAACTCTTGAACCTTTACCATAGTTCCTTTCCTATGTATAGAATGGAGGAAATATACTAGAGCCTAGTCCTTATCTTTTCTTGCTAAGAACGCTAATTGCATCACCTCCTCTGGGAAGCCCTCCCAGATACCCAGTCTCACATTAGGGCTTTAAAACCTCCTACACACTCTCTTAAAGCACTTAACATTTTGCCCTGCAACTGACAGTTTGCTTACCAGCTTCCCAATCAGAAGATGGATTGAGATTATTGAGACTAATGAATTATGTATTATTTATTAGTGTGTCTCTTGTACCTAGTGTGTTGCCTGCCACAGGGCAGGCAGCCTTATGTGTTTGCTGTATGAGTCTTGACTCTGTGTCTTAACCAGTGCTCTTTTGTCCAGGACTTCAGAGACCCACAGCAAGAAGCACATTTTATATTGTAAGATAACTAAAACAAGTTTCGTGGGACAGTATTTACCCTTGCTATGTACCTGCACTCTGATATTTTCTTTTTTGAGTGCAAGCCTTTTTTTTTTTTTTTTTTTAAGATTTATTTATTCGAGGGAGAGAAAGAGAGAGGCAGGGCATGCATGTGTGTGGGGGTCGGGGGTGGGGAGCGGGGGCAGAGGAGAGACCCTTCAAGCAGACTCCCTGCTGAGCATGGAGCCCATCTCCAGGCTCCATCCCACAACCCATGAGATCATGACCTGAGCCGAAAAACTAAGAGTCAGACTTAACCGACTGAGCCACCCAGGCGCTCCCTGATATTTCTCTTTTCTATGTTGTATTTCATGTTTTCAAGGTGCTGGCCATGACCCCCAAATTGATTTCATGATCCACTACCAGGTAGTGACTTATAGTTAGAACAACTATATCTCCTGTCTGTTGCAGAGGCCTTCTCTGTATAGGGTCTAGCTGTCCCTAAAAGATGCAGGAGATGGCACTCAAGTCCCCGTTGTTCTGAGGTCAAAGCAAGGTTTATGTATAAGAAAATAGACAGAAACCCTTCCAGGACTAGAGAGAGGTACAAGCGCGCAAATAGGTCCCAGGGTGGGGGCGACAGATGAGGGAAGGTCCCCGAGAAGCCTGGTGGGAATCTTTGTGCCTCCAGAAATTAAATGGCAGTGTCAGATTTACTGGAGCCTGGAACTCCCAAACACAGATAGGCCATGGGCCTCTTCCTGCTCTGCTCCCAGATTACAGGTCTCCACCTGAGAAAGCTCTCGGTTACACGGGTGGTGGAAGCGGGAGGTAGGTGGACATTCCCACTTTTGCCTAAAACAGCCTCTTCAATAACCTCCTGCCTCTAGGCCTGGGGCCAGGTGCTAGCTGTGTGACTTTGGGTAGGCTGTTTAATTAGGTTTAGGGTGACAGTTGAAGCCAGGGCGCTTTGGGCCTGACAGCTCTCCTGAGAGAAAGCTCACCTACCTGCTTCATCCCTTTGCCTCACCCTTACCTCACCTGGAGCGTTGGTGGGAGGCAGTAGGAAAACAGAAGCACCCCCCCCCCCCCACTACCACCGAGTGCCAGAACATTGGGGCCGTGAGGGTGGGGCTCAAAGGAGCGGCTGTCCCTGTCTGTCTGTTGTAGCTGCTCGAGTGGGACCCGGTGTTCCTAAGCCAAGCTTTGGGAAAGGGAAACAGAGCTGGAGGGGCTTCCTCCCAGGGAGGTGCATGCTGCTCCAGAACCCTGCCCCTTTCACCACAGAAAATAAACACAGGGTTGGGCCAAGGGACACCCTTCATGACCTTCTGATGTCACTGAAATGTTCCATTTAAAAAAAAAATGTTTATTTTTATTACAAACGGAACACATCCATTTTCTTGGTTTCTCTGATTGTCCCTGCAGAGTCTCAGTTCCGTTTTGTATTATAACTGGGAAGGTGGGGTCTAAGCACCAGCATTCCAGAGCCCTGTGCCCTCCTGTCACAAGGCTTGCTCACTCCTGTCCTGGCTGCTCAGAGCAAGGTCCTGAGGGGCGGTGGGTTGGGTTGGGTCGGGTTGAGGGGACAGGGGAGTGAACAGTTGGTGGGGGTGCCAGATCCTGGGGGCTGGGGAAGAGCTAATGGGAGTGGGTATAGCTTCTCTGTAGAGTAGCCTGGGACACCTCACTGGGGCCTCAGATTAGGGAAGATTCATTCTGCAAGGTGCAGGCATGCTGATCATCCCAACCCTACCGCTTAGTTACTTAACCTTTTGACTACCTTCCTCATATTAAAATGGGGATAACACTAGTACCTACTTTATAGGTTATTGTGAGAATTAAATGAGATAGTATGTGAAGAGTTAGTGCCTGAAACGCTGGGAGTGTTTAGGAAATACCGCTCTCACCAGCATCAACCTTCCCTCCAGACCTGTTCCTTCTGCATCTGCCCAGTTCCCCAAGCTAGAAACCTGAGGTCACCTAAGACTCTTCCTCCTCATGTCCACCCCCAATCAGTCCTGCAGACCAGGGCCTCTTCCCCTCCCAAGTATTATTAGTCAGGCCTTGTCCTCCTTTACATTCCTGGCTGCTACCTCAGGGGAGGCTGGCAAGAGGCTCCTAACTAACCTCTTTCCTTCTCTAGGTCCCAAATTCAAATCCTAGCTCTCCTAGAAGATGCAGATCTCATCCTGCCTATGTGGAACTTTCAGGATGGAGCTCAGATGCCTAGCTGGGCACAGATGGTCTCCAAGATCTGGCTCCTGTTGGCTTACCTACCCCATCTCCTACACCTTCCACACACCCACCCATGCTTCTGTCCGGAGGAACCAAGCACCTGTGATTCTTTGACACCCTTCGCCTCCATACTTTTGCACATGCAGTTCTTTCTGCCTGGATGCCTTGCTTCCTCTCTGTGGCTGACTCCTCCCCCTATCAAATACATTTCAATTGCTACTTCTTCCTCAAATCATCCCAGGTCTGTCTGAGATGCTTCGCTGTGCTCCTATTTTCATTTTGATTGTTCTGGACTGCCCCCCGCCCCCCACTATAAGTGGGTAGGTACTTGAGGGCAATTACTCTCTTTTTTTCTCCGTACTCCTGATGCCTCTCACTGAGCCTGGCACATAGTAGGCTCTGTTGAAGCCAGTCCCAGTAGGCATCTTCCTCCTTGCAGTACTCTTGGGGCACTGAGCCAGGGAGGTTGGGAGGTAGGACGCCAGCATCGTAGGCACTTTCTCTACCACTCAGGAAGTGGGAGTCCTGGACCCAGAGTGTAGCCTGGGAGCCTAACCGACAGCACAGACACGGGAGCCTGGGACTCGGGAGTCCTATCTGCCCGGAGCTTTGGAAACTAGACTGAGGCCAGTTGAGGCGTGGTGAAACCAACAGACACACTTTGCCCAGGCATTCAAAGGGGTCGTTGGGTAGACGAAGCTGCAGCAGGGCAGACCCTAGACCTCTCCATCCCACGGTTAGTGTAAGATAAAGACAAATGGTACTATTTGGGGCGGGTGCTGGGACTCCCACCGCCCCAATCCAGGTTCCTTCCGTGCACAGCCTCGCCCTTCTTCCCCATCACTTAGTCCTAGGTGGCCACGTGACCTGCGCCCCCAGCAGCCACTAATCACCCGGCTCCAGCCCTTCTCCTAAATAGGGAAGCGACTGGAACAGATCGAGTTTCTGGGCCGCATTTACAGGTTCCTTAGACGAAGCCAAACCTCCTCCTTCCCTCGCTTCCCCCCCCTTCCCGCCCCCCAAAGCCAACGGCTGGCGCCGTGGGAAAGGAAAGAAGGGGCCCCTCCGGAGCCCCACCCCCAGCCCTCCAGTCATTCCGGCCCGGGTGAGGCCCCTCCCTCCACCGCCGCTCTGCCGGCCCCTCTAGGGGCACAGCTTGGGTCGCCACATTCCAAACCCCTGGCGGCCCTTTGAGGTCACGTGGCGCGTGGGGGTGGGGCGGCAGGATGCCCCTGACCCAGGCTGGCGACCTCGAGGCTTTCCAGGGTTGCAGATGCTGGTCCCTTCTCCCCGGACCTAGCGTAGGTCAGATTTGCTTTGGCTTGTGGAAGCCTGGGAGTGATGCACGGCGGGTTTTTACCTTCCAGCGCCTACTGTGTGTCTGGCTCATGCTGAGCACGCAGGCTTCTCACCTCCAGCTCTCGTGGCACCCCAGGCCAGGCCACATAACCTTTCCTACGGAAGACACTAGCAGGGAGTCGCCAAGGCATGGCAGCTCAGAGGGCTAGAATCTTAGCTCTTGGCCTGCAAAGTGGACAGGGAGCGGGGGAAGACTGGGTAGAGCCAATCCCTTAGTTTAGGACGCTGTCTGTCCTTGTTAGGCAGGCCAAGTCAAGAGCTAACCCTGTTCCCTGTGGTTAGCCTGGGTTCCGGACCTCTGAGAGCTGTACTTTGGGTCTGGGGATAGGGAAACTAAGAGGATTGCTTTCTCTCTGGGCTGGGCAGATGATCCCTAAAGTGCTTACTCCATTTTGGTGCCAACTGCGATAGTTAGAAAGCCCTACTGGAGCTGACCCTGGTCACACCAAGGGGCCTTGGCTTCTTTTTGGGGCTGAGGGGTGAGTGGGTGGATTGGAAGGTGAGGTACCGGGCCCAGCCACCCTGCTTGAGAGGTATGACCTTGTAGGAAGGAGAGTAGATGGTGGAATGGAGATGGCAGAAGGGAGCCGTATTTTGGATGGAGGGAGAGGTCTGCATTTTTTTTGTGAATCATTAATTCACTCATTCAAATATTTATTGAGCCCTTACTAAATGTGAGTCATGTATTCAACCATTTGCATAATCATTGACTTGCATAATCATCAACCTGTCCTGGGGCTACGGTGAGTAAGACAGGATTCCTGCCCTCATAGAGCTCACAGTCTTGTGGGAAAGCCAAACACTGGAGGGGCATTCACAGTGCTGAGAGCATCCGTGGGGCAGAGGGGCTGTGGGAAAGAGGAACACTTAGCCCCAATTAGGTGGGAGAGGAGGCTGGCTAAAGACAAAGTGTTAGAGGCCTGAAGTATAAACCATCCTTAATCTGTTGGGCTGTAGGGAGAGAAGGGAAGAATGAATAGCCTTCCAGGTAGAAGGCACAGTGCATGCAAAGTCCCAGAGGCACATTCTGGAAACTGCCAGTGAAGTAGGGTTGGCACACAGCCACTCGGTTGCTGGCTGACAAAATAGGAGGAGATGGAGAGATCGCATTTGGGAGAGGAAGAGGGCTGAGCTGATAAATAATGCCACCTGGGAAGGTGCCCCTTGGACTCCACCTAGGGTCCTGCAGGAGCGCTGTAGTGGAGAATGTCACAGCTCCTTTTATAGTTGATCTATAAAATCAATATTTATTGTTATCAAGATACTACATACACAAGGCTTAAAAAATCAGATAGTTCTGAGGGGCTGTAACAAAAACAGAAGTCCCCTGGCCTTCTTCCCAATCTTTATCCTACTCCCTAAGGACAACCGCTTTCAACTGTTTCAGTTGTTTCTTCTGGTATTTCCTTCCTTATTTCTAAATAATCTATGCACTGCCATTCTGGATTCATCCAGCTCATTTGTTGACTTCTTGTTTTGGTAGATGAGGATTTTGATTCTTGCTCCCACCCCCTTGATGTTTAGATCATAATTTATGGTTAAATCCATGTTCAGTGATTTCATTATTGACTTTGAAAATATTGTTTACTTTTGAGGCAAGTATTCTGGTTACATTTCCTCTTCTAATATAACTTTTTGTTGGATGCTCTGTTTACATTTCCTTTCTTGTACAACTTTCTTGTTTTTCCTGGAGTTAATTGCCTCATTTTTTTCTTTGCTTGGTTTTCTTTGAATCTCTGGCTCTGTCTTCCCACACCCTTCAACAGCTCTGTAAAATGCCTTCTCAGTACAGTTTTGCATATGGCCAAACCTGTCATATAATCTTACCGGTTCTGTTTTGTTTTTCCTTGGAGACATTTGTCCTGGGGAGCTGCATCCTTCCGTTCTTCTCTGGATGCATTGCTCTCCAGTCTAGGTCTGTGGCATATCTGTCACCCTCGGACTTCCCATTGCCAGTAGTTAAGAATTCCCTTTGCCCTTTTCCTCTTGCAAGGACTCAGTATCTTTCTCTGTTTACTTCCTTGTTTGGATGAAACACATCCTCCAGTAGCTTCTTGAGAAAGTGCCTGGGAGGTATGATGTTTTAGACACTTTTGCATACCCGAAATGGTTTCATTCCCACCCTCACTTTCGCTTCATAGTTTTGGTTGGGTATAGAATTTTAGGTTGAAAATCATTTTCCTTCAGAATTTTGAAGACATCGCTCCTTTGTCTTGCAGCTTCGAAAATTTTGCAGTAGAGGTTTCATGCTATTTTGATTCCTGAGACTTGGAATTCATCTCCCTCCCCCACCCCCGCTTTTAGGATTTTCTCTTTTGTCCCTGATGTATTAAAACATCATAATGTATCGGCATGGGTCATTTTTCATGGCACTTGATAGGACTCTTTAATCTAACAGTGGTTTTCAAAGTGTAGTCCCCAGATAGCTGCTTCAGCATCACCTGTGGGAACATGATAGGTAGTGATGCACATTGTGAGCCCCAGCCCACGTCTAATGAATAGAAACTCTCCTTAGGTCCCAGCAACCTGTGTTGTTGTTTTTTTAAAGATTTTATTTATTTATTTGGCAGAAAGAGAGAGCACAAGCAGGGGAGAGGGAGAAGCAGACTCCCTGCTGAGCAGGGAGCCCGATGTGGGGCTCGATCCCCTAGGACCCTGGGGATCATGACCTGAGCTGAAGGCAGATGCTTAACGACTGAGCCACCCAGGCGCCGCTGCAACCTGTGTTTTGTTGTTTGGTTTTATAGAGAGATAATTGACATGTAACATGCTATTTGTTGCAGGTGTACAACATAATGATTTGATATTTGTACATACTATGAAATGATCACCACACTAAGTCTAGTTAACATCTGTCACCATACAGAGTGGCACATTATTTTCTTATGATGAGAACTTTTAAGATCTACTCTCTTAGCAACTTTCAAATATGCGATAACAATATTATTAACTGTAGTCACCCTACTATACATTGCGTGCCTGAGACTTACTTGTTTTATAACTGGAAGTTTGTACCTCTGGACTCCCTTTACCCACTTGGCTCACTTCCACTCCCAGCCTCTGGCAAACACCAGTCTGTTCTCTGTCAGTGAGCTTGGTTTTTTGTTTGTTTAATATTTGCTTAATATTTTAATATCTAAAAATAATATATTTTAGATTCTTCATATAAGTGAGATCAGACAGTATTTGTCTTTCTCTGTCTGATTTATTTCACTTAGGATAACGCACTCAAGGTGCGTTTATATTGTCACAGATGGCAAGATTTCCTTCTTTTTGGGGCGCCTGGGTGGCTCAGTCGGTTAAGCGTCTGCCTTTGGCTCAGGTCATGATCTCAGGGGCCTGGGATCGAGTTCTGTGTTGGGCTCCTTGCTCTGCAGGGAGTCTGCTTCTCCTCTGCCTCTCTCTCTCTCTCTTTCCCTCTGTCTCTCATGAGTAAATAAATAAAATCTTTAAAAAAATTTTTTTTCCTTCTTTTTCTATCGCTGAGTAATATTATATATTAATATATATTTATATATATAATCTGTGTTTTAACAAGCCCTCAGGTATTTTTGTGTATGCTAAGGTTTAAGAACCTGTTTTAACAATTTATGTCTTTACTTCTGGGAATATCTTTATTATTTCTTTGAAACGTCTGCAACTCTTATTATTTGGATACCGGACCTCTTGGACTGATCCTTTAATTTTCTTATTATTTCTCTCTTATTGGCCATCTCTTTTTTCTATTTTCTGGGAGATTTTGTCAATGTTATATTCCAATCCATTTACTAAGTATGTTGTTATGAACCTTTTTCTTTTCTTTTCTCTTCTTTTCTTTTCTCTCTCTTTCTTTTCTTTCTTCTTCTTCTTTTTTTTTTTTAAGATTTTATTTATTTATTTGT